TTGGGCTTGCGGGGAGATGGTTAGGAGCCTGTGTGCAGCAGGTGCTCCATGAGGACACGGATCCGGCTGTCTTCCTGGTCATTTTCTTCCTGCCCTGCCCCTTAGTCTTAGAGCTGTCAGCACAGTCAGGTTGCTGTGGAAAGTACACTTCTTGGTATGACTTTCACTTCTACTTGGTCTGAAATATGATATCTGAGCACACAGCATTAAGTTGCACACTGTCTTCATGCACTATGGCTGCCCTGCTGGCTGTCCTGTGGCATGTCTGGCTCATCCTGACAGAGGGTGTTCTTTGCCCTTCAACTCAATAGTCCTTTTTTGGTCTAGATCTGGGGTCCAGAGCTGTCTGTCCCCACCCTGTCACCCCTGCACTGTAAATTGCAGCAGTTTATGGTACTTGCTGTGCTCACACATCTTCCTGTCCTTCGTGTCTGACATGTATTCTCATCTGACCTGTGGGTACATTGAAGACCTTCAGCTGGACCTGTCACCAGTTCTTGCCACTGAAACAAAGGGGGGACCTGGCTTCTTTTGCTGGTGCATGGCACCGTCTTGTCTGTGAGGACTGTTTGCTGTGTGTCTCAGACTGCAGTCCACCCTGGCAGACACTGGGAGGAGGGGCTCCTGGCTGTGTAATGGGACTGTAAACCTCCAGAGGGTGGAGATGAGCGGTGCCCTCTCGGAGATCCATGAAACCCTGGCCTGGGCATATAGTGATGTCCAGGCTCCTTCTCGCCACGCGCCTGGGTCTTCTCTGGAGCCAGGGCTTGAGACCTTGAACCGGGAGCTGCCGCTGGTGATGGTGCTGTTTATCTCAGCAGCTGGGAGCTGATCCTTGCTGGGGGCCTAGTTTTTTCTTGAGGCTGGGTCTGTGTTTCACCGCTGATCAGAGATGTTGCCCGGGCTCATGGGGTACTGTGCAGCTCTGAGACCCTGCCAGGGAGTATTGTGCTGATGTGAGATTGCCTGTCACCATTCTCAAAACCTTTGGTCAAGGGACCCTTCACGTTGACCCTCCTCTTGTGCTGAGGGATATGGTATCTGCTTATGTGTGCAGGTGCATGAATGATTTGAGGAGGAAGAGAGGTGCATGTTCCAGAGGCACTGCAGCCTGCCGACCTCCAGGTAATGCAGGCTAAGCTGCCTCTGGGCTGATCCTTGCAGGTGACCTGAACATGATGAGGCCTCTCTGGGGTCCCAGCATGTGTGGAGACACTCGTGTTTTCAGAGTTGGACAGTCGCTCCTGTCCCTGGGAAGCACTAATGCTGAATCAGAACAGTTTTAACTCCAGATATCTCTAGGTCAGTCCACAAAGATGTGGACATGGCAGTGCCGGGGGTTCATATTTCCAGGTTATTATGATGTCAGCTAGGCCTGTCTCCTGTGGTGAGAACAAGCAGTTTCCCCATGGCAAAAGAAAAAAATGTATCTGGCCTGTGTCCTGGCTCCTGGCACAGGGCTCCTTGGAATTTCTTGAGTATTAGAATGCTTTATGTTATTCCAAGGGAGCCCCTGTACCTTCACATCTACTTGTGCTAATGAGGTGCCTCCTAGATAGGCTAGGGTTGGGGCTTTTGCCAGAAAGACCTGGAGATCAAAAGATTGGAAATGTCAGCCCTACCCACTGACCTCTGGGTAAGTAGTCCACTGGGAAGGGCTGTGGACCGGCTTGTGATATCTCGAGACAGTGATGCTGGGAGACCTCCATGTGTGTGGATGCTTATGTGGATGGAGCTTCTGCACTTCGGACTTTTTTGGATGTCACCTGTTGTGGTTTAGTTCTAAAATGTGCTCCAAAAGCTCACTAATGGGGCTTTTAGAAGACAGTTGGATTACAAGGTTTCTAACATCATCAATGTATCAATTCACTAATGAAATCATAATTTGGTGATACTATTGGGAAGTAATGATAACTTAGGAGGTGCAAACTTAAGGAATTGGTCACAGAGGCATGTCTTGGGGACTACTAACTATACCAGTCCCTGGCTCTTCCTCTTCTCTGGCTCTTTTCCTTTCGCTCTGCTTCCTGGCTTCCATCCTCCACCATGATGTTCCTGTCTTGGAGCCAATTGGCCATTTACTAAAATCTCTGAAACCATAAGCCAAAATGAACCTTTCCTTCTTTAAGTTGTGTATGTCAGGCATTTTGCCCCAGCAGAGGAAAAGTTAATATTTCTGTCTGCATACCTCTTCATCTATATGTTCATTTGTATTTTTAATAATAAATGTGTAAATGTAAGTATAATCATCTCCCTTTACATAGGAAAGATGTGATCCAAAACCCCCAGCAGATCCCTGACACCATGGATACCCTGGAGAGCCCTTCATATGCTGTTTTTCCCTGTACATACATATCTGTGGTAAAGTTTACTTTATAAACAGGCACACTAAGAGATTAACAATAATTAATAGGGTAGAGCAGTTGTAACTCTACTCACTAAAGTTTTATGAATGTGATTTCTCCCCTCTGAAAAATCCCTTATCATACTATGCCCCCTACCCTTATGGTACTCGGGTATCCCTTGAATGGTGGCATCTCTTTAGGCTGTCCGAATTGCAGTGTCCTTGTTCTTGCATTTGGGGGTGTTATGAAAAGCAAGGGTCACTTGACACGAGCAGTGCAATTCCAGGACAGTTGACTGGATGGTAGAGACAGCTCCTGTCAGTAAGTGACTAAGGGACGGGATGAGTCACGCCTCATAAGATGGGACTTTCATCACACTGCTGAGGATGGAATACAGTTTTAGATTTACAAGTTGTTATTTTTCTAGGACTTTCTATTTAGTATTTTAAATAGCCGAATGTCAGAGCTGAGTCAAATTGTGCAAAACCCACTGGTGTCAGAATCCAGCCGCTCTGGCTGATGGGACAAATAAAACTCCAGGTCTGACTCAGGTACAAGGTCCTCTGTGCTCTTCTCTGAGGTGTGTTCTTAGGCACGAATAGCATTTTCCTAAAGGCTGAGCATCATACCCCAGCCCTTTCCTCGGAAATCTGTACATGCGCCAAGCCTCGGCTGAGTCGTACATTGGTTAAAGCTCGTGGGCAATGCCATGAGTACACTGAGACCCATAACTGTAACTTCCAGTCCATCACATCGCAGGTCGGTGTATCTCCCTGCTTGAGTGGAGCAAGAGCGGAGTGTAGCACGTCATCTCTGCATGTGGCTCTGGAGCAATGGCCTCCTCAGGGTGGGGCCGACTCGAGAGCCTGTCCTGGGGAAAGCTGCTGTGCTGCCCACTGCTGAGCCCTGAGTTGGAGTGCTCGGCTTCTAGAGCATTTGCTCACACAGGTGTGGAGGGCCCAAGTTGCGGAGGGTGGTGGTGGCCCCACTGTGACAGGGATGGGCCCCCTGGTGCAGAAGGGGCACTCAGGATCCATAGAACTGGCCGGAGTCCCTAGCAGGACAGGTGCCCCACACTTGTTTCCAACTTCTGCTGTTGGAAAACTACAGCCAAGCTAGAATTTTCAAAAGTGCCATTTGAATTTCTAAAAGTGCTTATAGTGAGATTGTAACTTTATAAAACACATACATACCTTTGGGGATTTTTCATTTTTCTATGACAAGTATTTATTTATTTTCATGGGAAAATCTTAGTACTTTCTGTTGCTGCATTGTAATCATTCTGAGCACCCATGGAGGTTCTGGAGAGCTGTGGTACTGTTTACAACCCAGTGTTCGGGCCCTCTCCCCGTAGCCCTGTTCATGAGAAGACCCTGGGGTGGCTGGCTGCTTGGAATGATTGCGTGGGCCTGCCAGTGGCCTAAAGGTGTGGCTGGGGCCTCCTAGTTGTCCTCTTGACCCCCAGTGTGCCCAGTGACTTACATGTAACTATGAGGCCAGGTTGGTGGGGGAGGAGCTGAGTAACACCAGTGTTTGGTCTCCGAGTGGTGTACAAGCAGCCGTGTTCCACCTACAATGCCTTCTGTGTGCCTTGTCACGTCTGGAGACCGCTTCGGAGCTCCTTGGGACTTGTTTTCTGTCCTTGGAGTTGGAGCTTCTACAGCGACTTGCAGTGGCTGGTCACATTGGGTATTACCCATTTTCTTATAGTCAGCCTAATGCCATTTCTGTCATGCTGTGAAATTCTGTTTCTACAAGCTCCGTGGTTGTCCTGTGAAGCTGCTCCTCTCTCCCTGAAGCCAATGACAAGTGACCATTTGGCACAGGCCTTACTGGTACACAAACTGTTGCAGAGCATTTTATATGATTTGTCAGAAGCTCATTTCAAAAGAAAACTCTGAGTTCTGGAAATGTTGGCTGCCTCCTTCCCCTCTCCTCCCCCCCCCTCTCCCCTGAAAATCTCTCCCCCTTCCCCTTCCTTCCTGTGTGGGAGAACATAACCACCTTGGGCAGCCTTAAGCACAGCCTGCCCCGAGCTTAGGTGGTGGTCAGGTTCTGGTCTTGTCTTCTCAGCAAGTTAGAACAGACAGGACAGTTCTGAATACAATCTAAAAGTGGGTTTAAAAGAAAGAATTTTGTGATTCCTATGAGGCATCACCAAGACGTTTTTCTCAAAGGAGATGAGAACGCGTCTCTAGCACGTTCCCTTTCTTGCTGCCCAGCAAGCCCACAGCGGCTTTGACCATGTCCCCAGGCTGCATTTCTGTTAGCATCCAGGCCTAGCTCTTCTGTTTCTATCATGTGAGTGCTTTTGGTTTCTGCAGGAAAGCCCACTTCTGATAAACACAAGTAGATACTAGGTGGTTGCTACACAGAAGTAAACCAAAACAGCTAAGTTAGATGCCCTTAGGCCAGGAATTGGAGTTTGCTATATCTTAACTGGGGATTGTTTTGATTATTCTACAAAGGCCCTGTCATTTTCTCTGGCAAATAAAAATAATCCGTGATGGAATTAAAACTGTCCTCCTTTAAAAGTAAGAAAGGCATATGCATTTCCGATGTCTGTTGAGAATTGTTCCTTGGTGACGCGCACTGTAAAGCATTTTTGCCAAAATGCACGCAGTTTCTGAAGTCAGTGCCTTCTCTGTTCTCCAGATGGTCTTTCTGGCCGAGACCAGCCAGTGGAGCTGTTGAATCCTGCCCGAGTGAACCACATGCCCAGCACAGGTAAGTCCACACACCCTGCCTGTGGTCTGAGGCTCTGCTTTGTTGAGGGAGTGTGGTGAGGGGGCAAGGTGTGGGCTAGCAGGTTCCTTGCATTGTTGGCACTTACCCTGGGTCAGAGACCTTGGCTCGCTGAAATGTAAGCGGCAGAGAAGCATTGAGCTAAAGGAAGTGTTCTGCCCAGAGACCAACTGCCTGTTTCAGCTTTAAGTCCAGGCACTGGTCCAGTGAGGGTCATGGGAAAAGTTCTGAGCTTGTGTGGGTTCCAGCCTGGGGTTGTGAGTCCCACAGTGTGGTGTGGTCAGGCTGCTGGACAGCTTCATGGCGTGGGCAGTTCACACGTCATCCCTGGGCCTTTGGGTTCTTTTGGTAAACTGAGTCAGAGATTGCTCTCTGTCAAGCTCCTTTCTGTTTTTTTAACCAAAAAAACAAAACAAAACAAAACCAGAAAAATGACTGTAATTGTAAATCTAAGTATTACACTTGAAGCAAGCAGTGTTTTCTAAATTTGTATGAAATGGAGACATTTTTGTTTTCTTCTTCTATGAAACCCCTTCCACGGTGTAAAATCCTTCAGATCTTAAACCCAGAGCATGAGTCCCTTCAGGGTCGTTGGTCTTAGGATAAAGTCTAGATCTCCTGCAGGCCCAGCACTAAGTTAATTGCAGTTCTCATCCCACACATGTGCCATTCCTGTCGGATGGTCTGGTCTCTGGTCTTTGTTCTGTTGCCACACCTTCTTTGGCAGTGCAGCTACTACCCTAAGAAGTGAAAGCTGGTGAGGAGAGGTTTCTTCGCTGAGGTGGGCCTAGAGTTTTCCTGGCATTTCTCCAAACACAGAGCTCCAGAGGCATCTTAGCTGCGCCCCCGAAGGTCTCGTTTCCTTCCCGGGGTCTGGGCTTATCCATTGCAATCCTCTTCATTCCTCCCTCATTAACAGCTGCCTGCCCAACACAGTGAGTCTATCTTGGGGAGCTTTAAATGTCCTGTAGAGATGCTCATTTTGTAAAGCCTGGCTCATGTAAGCAGTCTTTTTACTTTCTCTGGAGTTGCCTGTGTTGTTTGTGATCACACTGAGTCCTTGAATAGGCTGGACATTTCGAGGTAGTCTCCTGGTGCTGTTGTGGAAGAGTTTTTCAAATGGCTTAATGGACTGTGAGAAGACAGTAAATATGTAGCGTTTCCAAGCAAACCAGAAAAGATGGGCTTCCCCGGGATTTTCTAACGCGGGAAGTGTACTCTGCCTGTTAACATAGTCCTAATCCCAGCTTAGTGCAAGAATGGACCATGGACTTCAGTGTCGGCCACAGTGGGCCTGCTGCTGCTTTCTGGCCTTGTGATCTTAGCCACATTGCTAAACAGGTCTGTTTTGTTTAGATGGGGTAATGCAGCTCTGCACAGTTCTCACGAAGATCAAATATATATGTCAGCTTGTATATGTGCCAAATATATGTGTCAGTGATTCCTCGATAAACGTGATTCTTTAAAGTTACTTTAATTTTGAAGATGGTGTGGGAGGTAGCTGTGACGTGCCAGTTCAAGAACCGAAGATTTGCTATGGCTGTTTACCCTCATTCTCCCTCTGAGAAATGAGAGATGGAGGGCCAAGAAGCACGAACCCACGAAATTGGTGTTTCTCACTAGCCTCCTTGTAGCTGGGTTTCCACTAGACAGTTGAAGCACAGTCTGTTTCCTGGTGTTGAGTGCATATTTTTGCAGCATTAAAGTTTGGAGTGTTTCTAGCATTTGCAGCGCTGTGAGCAGCTGGCAGAGAGAGGTGTCGTGGAGCCTGCGTGTTAGCATTGCCTTAGAGCAATGGTGAGGGCACTCTGGCCACTTGAGCCCAGTATAGAAAGTGTCAAGGAAGTATTCATCTTAGGTTATGAATTAATTTAACAGTTGATGCGAGAATGTCTTTAAAGTTACGTTTTTTAGATGTGGAAGTGAAAATATTTTTAGGTGTATTTTTTTAAATGTCAGTCTCAATTTTCTGTTGTATGTTTCCTAACCGTTGAATTTGATTTCTCCTGTTCTTTTTACATTTAGAGATATGAAACAAACATATAAGATAAAACTGAGGAATTACTCCAACTGGAGCTTGTTCCATGTACAGATAACACTTTCTGTGAATACAAAAGTACTCAGACAACCCCACCACTCCAGTTCCTTGACCATTCCTTGTCATGAGTAGTGGAATGCTCAAAGCAAAATTTCCAGATTGTTGTGTTTTTTTTTTTTTCTAATACTCTTAACTTCTAACAGAGTTTCACTTCAAATAAAAAGGCTTTTACCTGTATTCTTTATTTGTATGCCATCTTGAATTGAGACTTTCAGCTACACTAGGATCCTTTGTTAGAAAAACCTGTGCTGAATGAAAATGCTATTTGTTTGGAATTAATTCTAATTTCTTTCAGCTTCCTTCCACTTATATGTAAATAAGACTTTTCTTCTTTCTGTATTCCCTTTTTCCATTGTTTAATCTTAGAGTACCTGCCTGGTAAGTGCAAGGTCCTGAGTTTGATTTCCGGATACCAGAAAAAAAAAAAATCTTAGGGCTATGGTGTAGCTCCATGGGAGACTGCTTGCTTCGCATGTACAAGTCCCTGAGTTCATTTCCCAGCATTACACAAAGAAATTAATTGTAAAGTTGTTCTAAGATAAAAGAAAAAATACAGAAAACTCATTTGCCTATATAGCAGACTTGAAGACTTCTTGATAATATATTTTTTTTAAGAAATTAAATATTGCTATCAGGACCAGGCTATATCTTCTCCCTTCCCTGTGGTGGCCCATGTCCTTGTCAGTGAGTAGAAGGGCATCCCCTACATGAGGACTCAGTACAGAGGCAGAGGTACAATGGATATGCTGCTGGGTGGTGGGTAACCTTGTGGGTTTGGTACTCTTCCCTGTGCCTAGTGTTGACCACAGAGGTGGGAGGCAGTGTTCTCAGTCCAGTTTTGTGGGAGAGGAGATGTTGGGGCTTGAGGACAGAAGACAGGGTGGGGAGATAGTCAACTAGGAGAATGAGTTCAGGTACAGGCCAGCAAAATACCAAATTAGGATCACCTACCCGACTGCATTAAGGGCTCAGATTAGAGAATCCTAAAAAGGTCATTTATTTCATTTCTTTTCTTTTCTTTGTTTTTGTATCGGGTATCGAACTCAAGACCTTGAGTTTGCGAGGTAGGCAGTGGAACTACTGAGCTAAATCCCTGGCCCATAAAATCATTTATTTCTGAATCATTGTACATTTTGACTTTTCCCCTGATTATAGCGAAATGGCATTGTACCATGTGCTGAGTTCTGGTTTCCAGAACTGGAGGGCGAGCCAGCCCAGAGCTGGATGGCACAGATGCTGGTAAACCTTAAGTGGACTCACAGAGAATACCCAGGAGCCAAACAGAGAAACACAAAACCCAAATAACAACAGGACAGGAGTCCAAAGCCCATTCTGGAGACCTGATAGCATGCATACATGCCCTTCTCCACACTTATGTCATCAGTCTGTCTGAGTCTGAAGGTCTGAGGACCTCAGATCCGTGGTCACTTTTCCAGGGTCACTCTGTGTAGAGATTATGGGGCAAGGACTCATTTCTCTCAGGATTGTGCTACTGGGTATAAAGACGCCCTTAGAAACATTGTGCCCATCTGCCTCAGCGGGTGCAGTGGGGAGCAGAGGCCCCTCCTGTGTCCTTGAGACTGCTGTGCCACCAAGTGTCTTCTGAAGCCTATGGAGCGAACACTGGCAAGGCTGCACCTCTTGGTGTGTGCTTATGAAAGTATTTCTCCCTCTAGGAGTTTTATTTTTAAGATTTCACATCAAAAGTACAATTTTTAAGAGAAAATTCTGGAATCTTAAAGGGGAGAAAATACAGAAATTGAAGAGAACATCTCTAAGTAGTAAGAAAAAGCTGTTACTTTACTTAGGCTGTGGATTCCCAAGTCACAAAGGGATGTGAATCCTACACCGAAAGAGTAGTCACTGGGCTTCTTGATACTGCTCTTGAAATTGTACAGGAGCTGCTGCAGCTGTCAGGAGCCTGAAGTTCAGGTTGCCTCCCTGTGTGGTCTCCTGTCTGGTTTGATGAGAGGAACTTGAATCACATACACAAGTGAGACCACGTGTACCTCAGGGAAGGCACAGGAGGTGCCCCACTGGCACAGAAACCTAGTGATTACTTTCATACACTCAGCCCTGCTAGCAAGGCTTTGGTTGTGATAGTCCCACTCTTTTCCTGCTTGAAATTGCTCTGTGTATTTCTAAAGTGAAGCTGGAGTTCCAGGTCTGGGACAGGGTGGTGACCTTGGTGGTACCTAAGGATGGCCCTGCTGAGGTGCCAGGCAAGGTGGGAGGGAAAAGTGCACTGTCTTTGGCTCCTTGCTGCGGTGCCTGTCTTGACCCACAGAAGTCACACTGTCCTCCTGAGTGGCTTGTCTGGGCAGCCACTCCTCTGTGATTCCCAGACTGCCAACAGGAGTGTGCTGGCACGCAAAGAGGCACACAGCCCACACCCTGAGTCCTGCGAGGTCCTCTCCACCAGCATAGCATGCCACCTGGTTGACCTTTTGTATTTATTTATTTGTTTTGTTTTGTTTTTGGTTGTATTTTAAGTTTTAGAGGCACAATAAAAAAAGAGAACAGGGCTTGTCTTCCTTGGGTCACACCAACATTGAGAATTTTGCATGCATGCTTACACACATACACATGCAGCCTTCCCACCTGCTTTGACTCTTAAGCCATTTCTCTCTCTGGCTATTTGCTTTCCACCACCTGGGAGCATTCCCTTGTGGTAGCCCCTCCCTCTCATTAGCTTTGGGAACTCACAGGGACAGTTCCACGCAGACCTGCCTGGGGCTGCTGTGGGGCCAGGAGCAGCATCTCTGATGTAGCATAAATATGCAGTGTGGTTTGGTCTGATGTTTTTTTCTCCTCACTGTCTTGGTTAGGCGTTTATTCCTGCCCTTCTGTTTGGGGCTGGGTATTAAAGGCAGCCCACCAGCTC